ACTTCCTATGCCACTGGCATTGCCCACTACTTCCTATGCCACTGGCATTGCCCCCCACTTCCTATGCCACTGGCATTGCCCACCCCTTCCTATGCCACTGGCATTGCCCACCACTTTTATGCCACTGGCATTGCCCACCTGAACAGCTGAAATCCCCCCCCCCCACACACACACGAGTAGTTGTCTTTAAAGTTTTGCGAACCGCAATTTACTTTATCCCATAATTTAATATAATGATGTATTATGGGTATGATTTAAGAACCACTGGATTCCATGTAATTTTTAAAAAAAAATGGTAAATATAGTGATTGTTCTGTGCTGTAAGAATAGATATAAGTGAAATATCTGGTCAAATATAGTGAATGTTTTCAACTGTAAGAGTAGTTAAAAGTGAAACATCTGGTCAAAAATAGTGAATGTTTTTAACTATATATAAGAACTGTAAGAGTAGTTACAAGTGAAACATCTGATCAAATATAGTGAATGTTTTCAACTGTAAGAACTGTAGGAGTAGTTATAAGTGAAACATCTCAAATATAGTGATTGTTTTCAACTGTAAGAGTAGTTAAAAGTGAAACATCTGAACAAATATAGTGAATGTTTTCAACTATAAGAACACAAGAGCTGCAAGAGCTGCAAGAACTGTAAGAACTGTAAGAGTAGTTACAAGTGAAACATCTGGTCGTTACCGCGCAAGGGGGGCTCCCATCAATTTCGTCATCAAAATAAGGGAAAGAATGGTTGTTGGAAAACGTTTGACTGTTGTTGACATAACCGAAGCGGTACTTTATGGAATGGGCCCCCACCGGGCCACCTCTTTTAACTTAACTGAAAAATGCTTATAGTTATGGTATTTAGGATTTTTTAAATAGGAAAAATAATTGCGAAGAAAAGTTGTTGTTTTTTTACAGGGGGATATATATGGGGATCTAAAAGCTTATTGAGTTGTTAGTTTAGTCCTATACATAATTTGGATGGTAGAAACGTTGTCACGTCTATTTGAAAATGTGTCACGTGCGGTTTAAAGTTACTCTGTTAAAAAAAAAAAAAGAAGATCGATCTATTACCTTCGTCCACTGCACTAAAAAATAGTATGCGAGTTCGCTCAATAAGCCGGGTGGCCGATAGTTTGAAACTAAGGCAATCACAACCCTTTGAGTTCACTCAATAAGCCGGGTGGCCGATAGTTTGAAACTAAGGCAATCACAACCCTTTGAGTTCACTCAATAAGCCCGGTGGCCGAGTGCTTGAAACTAAGGCAATCACAACCCTTTGAGTTCACTCAATAAGCCCGGTGGCCGAGTGCTTGAAACTAAGGCAATCACAACCCTTTGAGTTCACTCAATAAGCCAGGTGGCCGATAGTTTGAAACTAAGGCAATCACAACCCTTTGAGTTCACTCAATAAGCCCGGTGGCCGAGTGCTTGAAACTAAGGCAATCACAACCCTTTGAGTTCACTCAATAAGCCAGGTGGCCGATAGTTTGAAACTAAGGCAATCACAACCCTTTGAGTTCACTCAATAAGCCGGGTGGCCGAGTGCTTGACACTAAGGCAATCACAACCCTTTGATGTCTGTCTGTCGGAGACTTGCCATTGGAACAAACGGGTGAGAGAACGAGAGACTGATGTTGACGGAATGAGCCAATGTCCACCACTTTGATTGATTGATTGGATATTTATAGAGATCTTGCGCTGGTATCCACGCTACTTTAGCATGCACACTGCGCTCTGGTTTACTTAAATCTATTTAAACAATTTTTTTTTAAAAATCTTTATTAAATTATGTTTTTATCATTTTCAATTCCCCTCAAAGATTGAGGCAAACTGTTCCATAATTTTGACGCTATCGCTTCAAAAGAGCGCACTCCGTAAGACATTTGTCTGTGTTCATCCACACTGGGAATTTTCAGCACGGTAAGGACTGTGTTGAAGACCACAGGTTCTTTAAGTATACATGTTTATAAATCAGTTCTTTAAGATATTCTGGTGCAGAGCCTTCTAAGCAGCTGTACGCCATGGACAGAATTTTGAAATCAATGCGCTCACTCACAGAAACCCAATTGAGATCTCGTAGAACTGGGGTGATGTGGTCAGATTTCTTCAACCGCGATACAATGCGTGCTGCAGTATTTTGTACTTTCTGGAGTCTCTGAATTTGGTTCTGAGGTAAAGCCCACAAAAAACTGTTACAGTAATCTAATCTCGACTGGATTAGAGTTACTGCTACAGCATCAGCTGTTCTCTTATTGAGTTGAAGACGCAGCTAACCCAGGGCGCGTAGATGACAGCAGCATCTTAAAACAAAATACAGCTCAGGTCAAGGCTGCTACTCAAGTCGAAGCCTTCCTTCCTTGGCCTTTGTCATCTTCGCGAAGGACGAACAATAGAGACTTGAGACAAAGTTTTCAGTGTATCCAGTATTGATGGTAAGATACAATTATGCCTTGCATCTTTAAATACATTTCTTTTGGTACGACTTCACAGAAAAAGCCGCCCTCCACTGTACTAAAGTGCCACCTGGGGTGAACCGCGCCCCTCCTTACTACGGCACTGCCAAGAAGAATATAAAGTAGTAGGCCTACATATACTCTACAAATGTACAGGTTTATTCTACCCCTCCCCCACCACCAAAACAAATATAAAGTAGTAGGCCTACACATACTCTACAAATGTACAGGTTTATTCTACTCCTCCCCACCACCAAAACAAATATTGGAACATGGAGATGTAAAAGCTGTTCATTCTTCATGGTATATTATGTTTCTTTAAATATATTTTTTATCATCTTTTGGCCCTTACAAAAACTCCTACCATGACAGAATGGAGAATTGCATGGCCCCAGGAGAACAAAGTTCTTGGGAAAATCTTAACATTAGAATCAATTATCTAAGAGAATTATTACTTTACAAAGTAGATTTACACGTGTTAACATTTAGGACTAGAGAGAAAGCCACTGATTTTTTTTTTGATTTTTTTAATTGAATATAAAATATTTAATCCCGAGTTACATTTCTTTTTATAGCATTAAGTAAATCTAAGCTGTTTTTTATTAGCCTCCATGCATTGACAACTTGTTGTACATAGAATTGACATCCTGTTATACATAGAATTAACATGTTGTTGTACATAGAATCGACATCTTGTTGTACATAGAATTCAAACCTTGTTTTACATAGAATTAACATCTTGTACATAGAATTAACATGTTGTTGTACATAGAATTAGCATATTGTTTTACATAGCATTAACATCTTGTTGTACATAGAATTGACATCTTGTTTTATATAGAATTAACATCCTGTTGTACACAGAATTCAAACCTTGTTGTATGTAGAATTAACATGTTGTTGTACATAGAATTAACATGTTGTACATATAATCAACATCCTGTTGTACATAGAATCAACATCCTGTTGTACATAGAATCAACATCCTGTTGTACATAGAATCAGCATCCTGTTGTACATAGAATCAACATCCTGTTGTACATAGAATCAACATCCTGTTGTACATAGAATCAACATCCTGTTGTACATAGAATCAACATCCTGTTGGACATAGAATTAACAACTTTTTGTAAATAGAATTAACATCTTTTTGTACATAGACTTAACATTTTGTACATAGTTTAAATAAAATTAAGATTGTTCACCAACACAAAAACATAAGGGTGTACATAAATAATTTAACATCAAGATGTACACATACAGAGCAAAATGGGAATAGTTATATAAAAATATTAAAGTCTTCCAATTCTTTATTACTAAATAGTAAATAAATATCAGGTACTCAGGTAAACACTTGCCATATTAAGATAGTGATAATGTAAAAAAAAAAAAGAAAAGTCTCTAATAGAATAATCTACTTGTCGGGAAGGATAGTTCATCATCTCTTGGACAAAAGGAGGGCACCAGCCCAATAATATATTTTTCCACATAGTTCTTTAAAAGAAAATATCCCTGACTGTTAATTATTATGCCTCACCATATTTGTAAAAGCCTGCTAGCAGCCTCATCACCAAATGGTGAACAGGCAGTTTTAGACAGCTCAGTCAGAAAGTCACACGTGTGTCAGAAATACAGCTGACATTAAAGCTCAGCATAAAATGCTGCTGATGAATTGAGCATCAAATGTGAATTAGGCAGAATTATTGTATTTTCTTAAGCAAATAATCTTTTGGAGCAGGTAAAGTGTACAGGTAATGAATGCTGATGTCAGAAAAGAAGAATGGCAAGGCTTGCCAGGGGCAGGCAAGGGGGGGCAAGTGAAATACATTCATGTGCAAACTAGTCACAGCGAGTCGTTTTATATTAATGGATTGAATTTCTTTCTCACGTGTGATCACAACCTGAAACAATCACAAAAGAATACATGGATCAAATTTATAAAATTTTGTCTTGGGGCTTGAGTGCGAGTATTTGAATTGAATCAGAAAGCTCTTGAGTTTCATGGAGGCTGACTTGACAATGAAGCCAAACAAAATGGGTGCTGAAGTATGTAGCTGGGCTCTCTAAAGCACCTCAGTAGAGTCAAAACTCTTAGATTGGCTAGCGCTCTGTTACTTACTCTCTATGACTTAGATTTTATATGTTATATGTAGAAATAATTTTATACAAGTTTGGATAATTGGCAACATCCCCTGATGTTAGGTTGATTTTCATTAAGGACTTTAAGCTTATAAGGACACATATAACATATTACAAAAAATAAATTTGGTATACAAGCAAATATTAATTATTTACATATTTCGGCAATAACATTTCATTTTACATTAATTTATTGACACTTTTTTTTTTAATGCAACCAATGCAACAAGTTGTTTTATTTTTATTTTTTCAAACTCTTTAGTTTAAACAATCTCTTATGGTTTCCCCCCAAAAAATTTACAGAAAACAATCTGTTGCAAAAGTATATATCAATGTATTTAATTTTTTGGCTGTGCAGTGTATGCCATTTATTTTAACTTTCCTTCAATCTTGACAATCAACACAAAAAATATTACAGTAAAGATTAATGAAACATCTTTTATATTTATGCTCAACTATCATTTATACTCATCTTTATTCCACCGGTGATCAATATAAATAGGATATTACTGATTTTTTAAATATATTTTTTACTGATTTAAAATGTCCAATATTTTTCCTTCCATTGTCTTTGCATCTTCTCCTTCTCTTTTCTTGGGTAGTTTCTGACTTGTAGACACTGCAGCACCAGACGCTATGAGCAGACCATCTGGAGTGAATGCACAAAACTGAGCCAGGTCTGTATTACCCTGCAACAGGTGTAGCAATGGATGTTAGTAAGAAGTAAAATAAAAATATTTGGTGATTCCAAAACCAAGATTTGAATATAGGTAAAATTAGTTATGTCAAAAAATACTTTCATTCAAAATTGTAATTTATATTTAAGAGAGGCTTTTTTTGGCAGAGGTCAGGAAGTAGTTGAAATTTGACTTTCTATTTTGATTTCATCTTGATGATGAGTCAGTAGCCAACTCACCTTTATTGTAGTAAAACAGACACCAATCAGAATTTTAACTGACCTCTAATGTATTAACACAGACACCGGTCAATATATCCCACACTTTGACAAAGTCATCATCAGCTGCGCTGGCTACAAAGGTGGAGTCAGGGGAGAAGCTGACAGCCTGCACCCAGCCAATATGTCCTTCTAAAATACGAAGACAGTTTCCTTTCCTGGGATTCCACAACCGAATTGTTCTATCCCAAGAACCTGATGCCTGTGGATTATGAAATTTCTTTTTTAAAGTCTTTAAAATGTGATAACTATAATTTTTTCAATATTCTTTGTGTACCTCACAAAGAAATTCCTTTTAAGATTAAAATATAAACTTTTTTTTTGTTCTGGAAGGGAGACAGCTAAAGAATTCTAAAATTTAAAACTCATTTATTAAGTAGCCTATGTGTTACTTTTCGTCAAAATCAACTAAAATATCAGATTAACTGCTCATGGTATTTTTTTTATAGAAATAATTGAAAATTTCAAAAGTGTAGGCTAAACATCTTTACAAATGAAACAAAACAAATACTTTGCCCAAATTTTTGCTTCTATTTTTATTTACTCTTCTCTTATTAAATAATATTATTATTACATAAAAAACTTATAAAAGAGAAAAAAATATAAACAATTTTTGCTCATAATGCAGCTGATAATGGGATTTCTGCATCATTGTGTCAGCTGATAAATAGATCTCTGCTTCATTGGTATTTCTGCTTAATTGTTGTCAGCTGAAAAAGGAATTACTGCTTAATTGTGTAAACTGATAATTGGAATTTCACTTTATGTGTCAGCTGATAATGGCATTTCTGCAGAAGTAATCTCTGTTTACCACTCAAGACAATGATATAGTAACTGATCTATCAACTGTGTAAGGCAAGTTTCAAATTTTAATAATTGACTACTTTCAATTATGGATAATATATTTTTAAAAACATACGTTAAGCCGATTTAATTTAAAATCCCATCAAATATTGTAATTCAGAATAAATCTCACCAACATTCCAATCCGAGAGAAGGAAATAGCATGAACATTTCCTGAGTGTCCCAATAAGACTTTGACAATGTCATGCACTTCTATCAACATCTCATGATCTGACAACACATTCTTTTCTTCTTGCTCTAAGACATACTCATTTTCAAAATTGCTTTGAAAACTGGAAACACTTCTCCCCTGTGGATCACTATTCAGATCAGTCTGGGCAGAGTCCACTTTATGTTGAGCTGCCATTAAATCTGATCTTATTTTCTGATATGCCTTATGGTCTAAATTCCAAACTCTTACTGTAAAATCCCATGAACCAGAGGCCTGTAATAAGTGTAAAATTATAATTTCAAGTTAAAACATGTATCCCTAACTATAGATGCTGTTTGGTTTTTAAATTTGAATTCACACATCTGATTTCCTTGAAAGAATGCTCATTATTTTATATTCTAATTTAAAAGAATATTTACTGGGGTTTTTTTTCTTAAAAACTATAATATTTGCTCCTCATAAACACACTTTAAAAAAAAATTGTTAAAAAAGTGTGTTTATGAGGAGCAAATATTTTCAGAGATTTATCAATTTATGCATTTTTCTAGTGCTTCTACTTTTAACTATCATCATTATACTTCAAGGCAGAAGTTTTTGTTTTAAATATATTGAATCTAGTAATTCCAATAATTAAGTTAATAACTTTTATTTTTAATGTATTTTTATTTTGTATAAGCCACATTAACTTACTGCCCTTAAAATAAGTTTCAGAATGAAGTCAACTTCCATAAGCTATTTAAAAATTATAATTTATCACCAAGTTTAAAATGATCATGAAAATAATAATAATAAGGGGGAGAGACTTTAGTTATGTTAGGTAGAATTAAATTAGTGAAACAAAGTATGGGAAAACTTGAAGATATGAATACAACAAAACAGCAAACCTGTTGGCAAGAAACCTTCTTCGGCAAACAAATAACAGTAAAAACAATATGAAAATTAAAATAAACACTTAGTTGCAATTTGTATCTGAGAGGAAATTATGAGCAATGTTATAGACCATTAGCAGGTAAGAGAGTAAATGTAGGCAATAGGGGATGGAAGAAAAGAAAAGTAAGTCCACTGCAATTTGCTGAGCAAAGAGGGGGCGGAGAAAAGATTTAACAAGTAAAGGAGAACATGACATTCATGCCATGTGGTGTCAAGGTCCCATAAGTCTGTATCAGTTGGTTCTCTATGTTCACCCTAATAAGCATGCTGCGTCCCTTTTTTTCAGGTTTTCACGTACTTTGTTTCACTTATTACCTTAAAAATAAATAAACTTAAAGAATAAGCAAGTAAATGTAGAATTATGTTTTGGACAATAAGCATACAAAAATGCTTATCAGATTTGTAAGCTAATATGTCTTGTAAATGTTTAAAACTTTATACAATTATCATCACTTGATCTTAATATTGTGTACTACTTTCCACTTATCACCATTAATTGTCTTACCAAGAGGTGACAATCTTGTGAAAATCCAACTGATTGAACAAGGCTGCCATGACCTCTAAAAGTTTTCAAACATTTTCCAGTCTGAAATAATAAGGGAAATTGTTTGACACAGTAATGTAATAGATCAGGGCTCCTCAATCTTTTGGCTTTAAAGGATCCCATGAGCTGGAAGATAAAACATATCGTGAGGATTTGGTCATTTGTGAAAAACTTGTACTATGTGAACCATCGCCCTGTGGTAAAATATCACATTATAAACCATCATCTTGTGGTAAACTGACACATTATAAACCATTATCTTGTAGTAAAATATCACATTATAAACCATGAAAATGTGAACTGCCACACCACGAACCATCATCTTGTGAACTGTCACGCAATGGCACATCACCTTTGATTGAACAATCACACAACAAAAATCACTGTTATTCATTTTTCCAAGTTGTCCCAATTCATCATCATTATTATTAGTTGCACTACAACCCATGTAGGGCCCTGGCCTGCTCCATCACATCTTTTCCATTCGCCTGAATTCATGGTTTTCCTCATCCATATGCAGACCCCTGGCTGATATAAGGCTTGCTCTACATCATTAACTCATCTCAGTCTTGGTTGACTGGTGAGCCATATGCCACTAGGTTACTGCCTGTAGATCATTTTCACAGCATCCAAAAACTGGCATCCTCTCAAGGTGCTCTATCCAGTACAGCCAATCTTTTTTTTAAATTGTTGCCACTTTGGGTGGGTCTTCAAACAATTGATAGATCTCTTGGTTTATACAAATTCTCCATCCATCATTGTCTCTAACACTGGACCATATAAATTACCAATTAATTATATTTTTATATTCTTTACTCCATTTGTGACCACATGATGTCAATCATTTTTGTTTAATTTGTTCAACGCTCTACATTCCAAAGTTAAAATAATCTGTAAAACGGTTTAGTGCATCTTGTGTAACTTGGTTAGTAGACCAAGAATATTTGTAAAAAATGGTCAGATGGCTTCTAGTTCAGAGATGTGACAGTGACAAGTGTGTAATAAATACTTTATAAATATTGGTTTTAAAAAGGCTTTTGTTCCATATTTAATCACACTACTATTACCTACTGTACAGGGTAAATTTTATTATCCATACAAATATTATAACAACCTACCTGTATGCACCATAACTTGGCAGTTCTGTCCCAGGATCCTGTACAACAGTAAATAGCTCCTGGTGAAAATGCAACACTCTCTACACTTTTTGCATGGCCTGTCAAGATGAAGAAAGAATTTAACCCTTTAAATGAACAAGAAGTAATCAATTAATTTCTAGGGATATCTAATGTTTTGTGACAGCTCATGGCTTCCATGCAAAAATATAATGATCATTATTTTCATTCTAAGTTACCTGGGCACTTTGGTTTGATGTACCAATTTTAGGCTTAAAAAGGTTTATAAATGATCTACCAATAAGTGAAATGTTTATTTGTATATTTGCCTTAAAGAATGTAATTTATAATTAAATTAATTTGTTACAACAAGCAAGCTAACCTTTGAGAACATGGATACATTCACCATTTGCAGTCTTCCATATTCTTGCCGTTTTATCAAAAGACCCGCTGGCTATGTATTTGCTGCATTCAGACACAGCTACACTCTTGATTGCACCTAATCAATAATTATAAAAAAGGTATTAGTTGTTAGCATTATTTATTTAAGCTTTTCACAATGACTTTTTTTTAATGAACTAAGTAAAATCTGTTTTTACCATCCAAAATACCTATGGCCCCTTTATGTTTTACTCTTTTAGAAAAATGTTGCATCAGAATAAATATTATATTTTATGCTTTTTATGAGAAATTTTTAGTAAATTTTAAAAGGCTTTCATAATCTTTAAAAATAAATTAAATATTGATGCACCTTCATGACCTTTCAGTCTTACAATACACTGTTTGGTTTTTACACTGAAGGCTCTGACTCTCTGATCATCACTTCCTGTAACCATTAACTGAAAATCAGGAGAGTAGCTGACACAGTTCACCTACATATGAAATAAAACAGATAGTGTAGACATGTAAATGGGATGACATGTTCTAATTGTTCTCATTGTTAATATGCTTCTCTTCAACATTAGAGGCCATCCATCAATGAGACACGAATCGGGGGTGGGGTCATAACTTTATGATGATGCGTGATAAAATTGTCTAATATGTGTTAAAATTTTGTGACGATGGGGTGGGATGGTTAAAAAATCTGCCAAATAACTTTCATTTGGAAAATAATTTTTGCACTATCCTCAAATTTCAAGGAATTACAAATTATATTAATTTTATAAATTTAAAACTAGATCTAAAACAAAGTCATCAATTACCTCATCTTTGTGTCCTATGAATTCTTTTAGTTCACGTTGGCAAAAATCTTTGGGTGTTGAAAACATAATAAGAAGAAGGTCTATTTATCTTTTTACTATTTCTGCAGCTAACTTCTTGAACTTCTTCAAAAATACTTGATGCTTTATTATTATGCCATTTCACTGATATTATTAAAAGTACAAATCAATTTAAACTGTATTATTTTTAATTTATATGTCTACTAAATTAATACTATACAATACTAGCTTAGTTAGTAAGTAATTATGGGCATTTATTGGTGTTTTATTTGTTGACATTTCAATATTTATTAATAACTGGGTCTATTAGTAAGGACACTAAGACATCGACATCATCATATGACACTACTTGACTTAATTAACTTAAAATGTGACTGTAGTAACTAGTGACTGTAGTCTACACTACTTTAGACTTTAGTTTGGAGTTCAATAATAATAATATACTAATGACTAATGATTCATATGTAAGTTAGATAGTATTTTGTAATATTATTAATTAAAATTATTATTATTTTAAATCATGATTCAAACTTTACATTTACTAACTAACATTTACATTGGCCTTGGCTCTCAGTCTTGTCAACCACTCTGGTCGTGAGCCTTGAGTCTTGAACTGAGACTGAGTGATTGGCTTTGTTGATTACTTTGATACTTTGAACTTTTAAGTAGTCGAGAACTATTAGTTGAAGTTTGTCTTAAAAATAACTTCCTAAATCTTTTTTTTATTAATGACGTTAATCTATTCTATTTTAATATTAATTGTTATTTTAAAAAATTCAAATGCAAAATCTAGAGTTAAAAATGTGCAATCCGTAGTATTTTCTTAAAATTCCACCTGTCACTTCCGTTACCATGAACGCTAAATGAAAAAGTGATTTCGATTTTTTGAATCCACAATTTTATGAACCGGATGTTTTTAAAACAGACCTGGATGAAATAGCAAAATCACTACACTATTGGAAAATGGAGGCCGAGGCGGCGATTACTTCACTAGTTAATCAACTACAGCAAATAAGTGTTGGAAGTAAAATTCAAGCATTGGATGAATTGAAAACTGCAATAACCGCACTTCCTTTACCAGATCTTCGACGCATTCTGCCGAATCTGTCCATAAATAACGTTTTTGAATGCTTGAATACACAAGACAAGTAAGTTTGTGCTTCAAATTTAACTGAGAAACTGTTTACTTAAGCCGCTAATTAATAATAAAATGTATATATTTGGGTTAAAGTGCAGTTCAGGTGCGTATATTATTTCTTAGCGCATTTCGTATTTTAAAAAAATTTTATCATGTAAACTTACGTGTAGGCCTATTCTTTAATAATTAAATACAGGCAGTTATAGTTAACTAATTCTGGATTATAAATCGCATCTTTTCTTTTTATTTTACTTCTAAAGAGTCTTTAAACATCCCCCAACCAAAGTATCACAGCCCCCATTTGTTTGTATTTTTCTTTTTACGCTATGCCAGATTTTTAGCCACCTATAAGTTAGTATGCTAAACGAAATTTTCAAACTAAGCATGTTCAAAAAAAAAAGAATGAAATACTAGATTCTTCATTACGCACAAGCGCCCCCCCCCCCCCCCCCCCACCTTTTTTTTTTTACAGAGAGCTCGGAATATAGGGGTTGTCCTTTGAAGTCGAGTCGGGGAAGGGGGGGGGGAGATTAGAAGTGGATCACTGACTAAGCAGTGGACACACACGTCATCATTGTCCTGGACCTGGTGTGAAGCTGATCACCCTGAAGGCTGCTAATACGCTGTCCATGATTGGTCAGCTCTAATTTGAGCACCCCCTCCTCTTTTTTCGTATGCAAATGCGCTTATTACTGGTGACTGATTTGCGCTGAGTAAAGTGAGGGCTAGTGATTATTTTTTTTATATTATAAGACAGACTCGTTTTGGCTTTGTGGTATTGCTGGTTGTAGGATCATTTTGTTTAAAATTGCAGGACGACCAAGAAACAATAACTACAATGCAACAGGCATTTTTAATGGTGCAGCATTTGGTTTAAACGCGCACCTTGTGGGGCAACAAATAACGTTAATACAACTGGAATTTCTCCTAAGGCACTCGTAACAATTGCAATGTGGCTTGTAAGCTGGGTCAAGTATGTGAGCTCCCCATAATTACCGGGATCTGCATATCACCCGAAACGGGATCTCACCGATAACTTTTAAAATACTTTTTATAAAGAATTAACATAAGTTTACACGGGAAAATAAGAGATTCAAACAGAAATAATATACGCACCTGAACTGCACTTTTACCATAAAGTAATAGGTTTGAGTCATTCATTGCACATTCATATACAATTTGACTTACCGTTAGGTGTTGACATATTTGACCTACTCAGCCTACTGCCTATACTAATTTTTCAAATTAAGACTGAATGAGTAGGTCTAGAACTTATTATACAGTTTCAGTTGTCAAATTTCAAAGTGTAACTGTAACACACAAAGATCAATTTGATCAAAAAAGACAAAATCTTCACTCTAAAACCGTTCTCTGCACATGAAACGGTCTGGGCCTATAACTGTCATCTCTCATTATTTTTAATGTGTGCAAAAGAAAAACGGTTGGTTTGTATCAATCTGATCAGATGGAATGTTAATGCACATTCACATATGATTTTCATTTGTTTTATTTGACTCTCATTCTCATTATTTCATAGCCATACTGACATTATTAATTTTGTACTCTACTGAACAAAATTTTCTGCAGGCAGGAACAGAAGGTTTGTTGTGAAGTGCTGGATCGTATGTTGACAACCCTAAGCCCCCCTACAGTTGTTATAAATTTTCACAGTCATCTCCTCAGATGGTTGAGATTACCAGATGATTCTTTGAAGGCCCTCTGCCTCCCTCAGGTAACACCCCCGCTATCACTGAGCATTTAAAAATTTAGAGTGAATTCTGATTATGTGTCATTTACTAGCCAGAACATAATGCCATCTTTCTGAACTTCTTCATAAAGAGTTATAAATGAGAATAATAAAAAAAAAATTTTTTAAAGACTAGAAAGTTGAATGACCTTTGAGATATTTTAAATAGGAAAGGGTTGAGGACAGCCGCCACAACCCCCCCCCCATGAATGTGAAAACTACCTTAATTATTTAATATTACAATATCCCCTAAAATGAGCTCTCAGACTATTTTTTTATAAACCATTATGATTATGACATGAAATAACATTAAGTGAAGTCATTTCACTGTATTCCAGTGTTTCCTAACTTGTGACTTATCCCCGTCAGAGAGGCAAGTTGTAGATTATAGAAGGACATATAATAGTCTTTGTTACAGTAACGTAGGAAAAAGGGAAGGGGGGTTCGAGAAGCAGTCGGCCTCTGGCAGCACTTTTTTCTTCATAGGGAGGGACAGCATTTTCAACCAACTCAGGAGTTTTTCATGACAGTGAGTGGCTAAAATATTGGCCCTCCAGGGGAGGGGGTGCACTAACCCTAGCTACACCAAAGCTCTGGGATATAAGAAATGTAAGGGGGGGGGGTGAAATGTTAAAACATGATTTTTTTTTAATTTTAACCACTTTCATAGTTTTTCATTTATATGGTAATAAAAAAATATTTCACTTTTTTTGGATAAGTTTTATCCTACACTACAATTAGGAATCTCGAGACCTAAAATGGCATGAAGATTGAAATTAAATCTTCTTTAAGGCAGCATAAAAATTCTTTCTTAATTATCACAAATTGGGGGGNTCGTAAAAAAACAACATTTTAGGTGAAAAGCTGGGAAGCAATTCCAGGAATGCGTGGAAAATTTTTGTACCTGGTTCTCCCATTGCAGCTATTTTGTTCATCAGCCTAACTAAATAATTACATCACAAATAACATCACATAGGCACGGTATCACCTGTGAAGAACTATTACTATTTGAAGACTTTTACAGAACAATTGGCTGACAAGAAGGTGGGGGGGGGAGGCTTATTTTGTGCTTACAAGCTTTATGGACAACCCTTTAAGAGAGTAAACCACTTTTCATCTCACTACTAATAGTTTCTTTGTCAAAATTCCTTTTAAGTGATAGATAGCCCCTTTTTTTGTTGCTCTGTGGATTCTATGAGAGATTGCCTATGTTATTAGAATTTAAGGTTTCTAATTCTATAACTTGCTCCCAAAAGTGATTTAGATTTATGTATCAGGTTTGTAATTTCTCGAGAATCCCATATTATCTTAATCGTTATTCCGTGTTTCCCTATCCAAGCTATCAAATTTCTTTTCCAGCTATAGAACTGATTTACAAAGCTGCATTTCAGCCAATAACAATTTCAAGGGGAACAAAGAAGGAAGTATACACCACTGTCATAAGACCAGTTGTAACCTATGCAAGTGAGACTTGGTCCCTTATCAGAAAAGCAAAGAACCTACTCAATACAAGGGAGAGGAAAATTCTCAGGAAAATATATGATCTGTTGATAGACAATGATGGTTGGAGAATCTGTACAAACCAAGAGATATATCAATTGTACAAAGACCCACCCATAGTCGCAACATTAAAAAAGGCACACTGCATTGGACAGGACACAGTGAGAAGGTGCCAAATTGTAGAGCAGGAAAAGTGATCTACAGGCAGAGGGCTCACCGGACGACCAAGACTGAGATGGATTGATGATGTGGAGAAGCACTTACACCAGCTGGAGGTTCGTGCGTGGAGGTGGATAGCCATGGATCGATTCTGCATGGGCTGTAGCGCCAGATGATGCTGTTTGTTCATCTCGGAGTTTAGAGATCAGTTAATCAAGGTTGCAAATCCAAAAATAAAAGCAAATTTATTTTATAGTGCTTCTACAGATTACTGAAAAAAAAATTGTAATTTCGTTAAGATATAAGTATATTCATCCAACAATTTTACAGATTTCAAGACTTAGCAAAGAAGTACCCTCGCAGTTATGCCAGTACGAAGACCTTGTCGAGGCCGTTGCAGATCAGCTGACGTCAGACAGTCCAGAGGTTGGCCCACCTGCAGTTACTGTGCTAACAAACATAGGTATTCATTAAAATAGTGGCACAGTATTGTTTACCTGTTCACCAGAAGATTTAAAACTTGGTTGGGCTCATCCTTAGCTATGATTAAATGGCTGAGTGAACTAGATGAAATAGACTTGGGGAATGGACACATTTTTGGGGCTTGGTGTTTTCATAATTAACAAACAAGATGACCCGTCACTTTTAAGGCATAGTTTATAATGCAAATTGATAAACAAAAACAAAAGAGAATAGATATTAAGTGTAGCAGAGTGGTGACTGACAGCTTTACATTTAAACATTAGTTTACAAATCCAATGAAAATGAGGTCTTGAGAGGTACAGCTTTTACTTCTATGGTTCTTTAGAGTATGGTCAATGGAAATACAAGGAAAAAGAGGAGAAAAATAGCGCCCCCCTCCCCAACCCCCTTGGAGAATATCGGAAAAGAACTTGTGCATTAAATGTATATTTAAAGGGATAAACAATTAATTAAGAATAGCTAGCACTTGACATGACAGATAACTCTGGATAACCAATGTTCTACAGGTTCTCCATAGTATGAAAATTGTTCAATAAACATAGGAGATAACTCTAGTTTTTTTCAGTTTCTTCAAAGTATGACAGATACATAAATTGCCATAAACATTGTTTTCATAGTGATCCATAATCATGTTGGATAATAAAGGTGAACAGCAATGATGATGAATATGAATTGCCCACTACCAACACATATTAAAATTTACTCTACCAAAAAAAAAAGGGATTTAAAAATGCGGAATAACAAAGGAGTAACTTTGTTCCTTACAAGTAGGCTCTAGCAAATAGATCGGGCATCCTTAATATAGGACTGAAGCGAAATATTGGAGTGCAACTTCATCAGAGTCAGAAAAAAAAACGAGGATGGCATAAGAGTTATTGCTGGTCACGTGAGGGCCAATCCCAGTGCATGAGTGACCAGCCTGATCCAGGTCATACACACTTCTGTTCTTCTGTCCAACTAGCAGAGAGAAAGAGAGGGTGGGTCACGGGATGATCACATGCTGTGCATGATTGTCACTAGTCTGATTAGTTTTTTAGCACACAGCATTGTGTTATTTTTAATGTAAGGGGTTCTTTACATATAATAGCCGAGGGCAGTGGTCGGCAAACTCATAAGTCAAAAGAGCCAAAAATCAGCAGCAGGACGATAAAAAAATTTTGGAGAGCCAAATTTCTTTTCAAGAACCTGTCAAGAACAATGTTTTTCGTAGTCTAAACCGATTTTTGGCCGACCGGCCGAGCTGCACTCAGGTGGCTAAAGAGCCGCATGGGGCTTGCGAGCCACGGTTTGCTGTCCATTGGCACAGGGTTTACCCAAAGATAATATTTATAAGCATTTCAAAATGTTAATTTTTGCATATAATATAAAGAGTGATATTTAAACTATGCTTTTCTTTGCCAGGTGAAGACCCTTTAGGCCTGCAAGTTCTCTTCAGGGATCCTATACTCGGCAAGATTGTGGAAGCAATGCAGAAGAATGATATTACAAGGTTTAGAATATACCAGGTAAGGTAAGATTGATTTTTTATGGTACAGTGGTTTATAGAACAAAGAATCTGTAGAACTTAATTTTTTAGTTTTAAAAGGTTACAAATTTTTAGGGTGTTTGCGGAGCAGTGCTTTCCAAACTTTACATGTTGGTGACACACTTTTTGGACTTAAATAATTTTGCGACTCTTCACATGAGTTTCACCATTAAACTGGAGGTCAAACTAACCTGTAAAATGTAATCTCAAAGGCAAGTAGTCCATATTTTGGGCGAGCCATTATCACATTTATTATCAAACCGAGCCATTTTGGAATACTTTACCGAATTCTCTTTGTTTTCTTTGGATTCTTAATTCCTATCTTGTCTCCCAAAGAACAAATCAGATAGACCAGTAAAAACATGAGTACCGCAGTTATTTTCTCAGTTGCTTTCATGTTGGTGTTGATTTGATTCAAAATTTGTCAACACTATCATAATATCCATTTATGGCAATCTGTTGCACGAAGTTAGTTTTGAATTAGACCACAAAATTCACTTTGTTTACTATCCTAAGAAAAATTTTTTTAGCATCAGTCCCTCAGTTTGCATGCACGAAGCCCCCCGACCTTGGAGCCAACAAATTTCTGTGTTGTGTCAGCTTTTTAAATTTCTATCTCATTTCTTCAGAAATATTGGCTGAATGATCTTGATTTAAGGGATCTACTTTTAGTATAAGGGAATATGTGAAACAAAGTATGGGAAAACCTGGAAAAGGACACCGCAAGACAAAGAGTGTATTGGCAAAAAGCCTTCTTAAGCGAACAAACAAGTAACAAAATATATTTGTCAATAACTTTTCCTAATACATTTCTGGTGGTTTTTAAGTCCAAAAAAAAATTCCATGAATGTTGGTATGGCTTATTTTCACGTGACACACTTTCACCCTGTAGGTGATACACTACAGTATCAAGACACACAGTTTGGAAAGCACTGGCGGGAAGGTTTATAAATGGTGATCAAGTTTTAACATTTATTGAGATTTATAAAAGAAGAAACTTAGGGTGTTGAAAGGTGCAAGACTTGCTCAAGGTCAGAGAAAAGATCTTTTCACTAAATGATACACTGGCCTGGTTCAGTAAGTCATAGGACTGGTTCAGTAAGTCATTGAACTGGATCAGTAAGTCATAGGACTGGTTCAGTAAGTCATAGGACTGGATCAGTAAGTCATAGGACTGGATCAGTAAGTCATAGGACTGGTTCAGTAAGTCATAGGACTGGTTTAGTAAGTCATAGGACTGGATCAGTAAGTCATAGGACTGGATCAGTAAGTCATAGGACTGGTTCAGTAAGTCATAGGACTGGATCAGTAAGTCGTAGGACTGGTTCAATAAGTCATAGGACTGGTTCAGTAAGTCATAGAGCTGGTTCAGTAAGTCATAGGACTGGTTCAGTAAGTCGTAGGACTGGTTCAGTAAGTCATAGGACAGGATCATTAAAATTAGCTTCTGTTCAGTAAAATATCAGAGTTGACTTAAGATTTTTCTTTGAACTCTTTTTTTTTATTGTAAGAATGATGGTTTTAAAAGTTGGGGGACTCAATGATGTTCATACCAACCAGTTTCAACACAAGAACATCCATAACAATTTCTTCTCTCATTCATTTTAGCCTGAAGCAAATTTCAGAGTTAAGGCTCCTTACATCATTTAAAATATGACTCATTCAGAAACTTAAATTTTGTTCAATTCCAGATCGCCACAGATTTAAGTAAAACATCTTCAGCGGCCCTAAATTTTTCAGTGGCGGCTGGCCTACTCCAGGAGCTGCTACGTGAAGTACAGGCCAATGATATTCTTGTCCAGCTCAATGCCATAGAACTGATCTCGGACCTGGCACAGTCTTCACATGGGCTAGCTTTTCTAGACCACCAGGGCATTGTGGGTAAACTAGAAGAGATGATGTTAGGACTCAATGAGAATCCAATGATGGGTCTGCTTCTGCCAGGTAGACATTACTGTTTGTTATCCATATGTTCCAATTCGTAAATGACCTGTACATCTACATGCAGCAATATATCTCATAAATGACCTGTGCATCCACATACAGCATTTGCGTTTAGTAAATGACGATTTAGTCAACATCCAGTTTTTACCTAGCTCTAGACAAAACAAGCTATTTCACACATAAAATAGCAAAGATGGGGTAACAGTAAAAAAGCAAAGATGGTATTACAATAAAATTTCAAAGATGGTGGTTCAATGAAATACCAAAATGATGATAAAATAAAATAGCTTTGATGGTGGTGCAAACCTTTTAACAAAAATGTCAAAATGATGATACGGCAGAAGTTATTAAGTCAATTTTTTTGGAGACATGAAGAAATGGTGACATCAAATCTTTCATTAAAAATATTAGCATATTGTTATCATACTTTTAATGTATCGATGAGGAATGTGGACAGTCAATAATAAATAACATTTACTGAAGTGTACAAAACAGTTTGGCTCAATGACAAATATCAGTTCATTGTTACCAATGACAGTTCAACTATGTTATGGTTAAACATCAAATTATATAATTAAAATTAAAGATTTTATGTTATAAGTTATTGTGCTTCTTGTGAGTATAAAGGAGAAAATTCATGGGTGCTCACTGGTGTGTCACAGATATAAAATGTTCTTTCATTTATTCCTACGATATTCAACTATCTGTAAGTTAAAATAATTCTGAAAAAATATCTATTGACTAAAAATCCAAATTGACTTTTTTTTAAATATAAAATGAAATTTTTTTTCCCCAAAGTTTTAACATGAAACCCTACAACTGCCCCTCCAAATTTTTTTTTTTTTCCCTTGAACTTGAACAGGACTCATAAAGTTTTTTGGAGGCCTTTCAAAATATCATCCTAAAGAAGTCCTGTCTAAATTTGACCACTTTGTGAAGATGGTTTTAAATAATGTGGACCATGGAGAACCAACCTTGAAAGGTCTATCTGTGGACACTATCGGATTCATTGCTTCAACTCCTGAAGGAAAGTTGGCTCTAGATAAAATAGGTAGGAGAGAACTACATTGAGAAAACTTAATTGCTATTGAAGTATAAAAAAAAAAAATCAATTTACTCTGATTGCCATGTGTAAATTATTAAGTATATAAGTTGGCACACCATTTATTAACAGCTGACCATTGTCTTTTGTAGGAAATCCTGTTACAGAGTGCATTCATAGTATGGGAAATCTTATCAGGACGGGACCATCTGAGCTCAAAGCCCGGTCTCTGCAGGCAATGTCCAACATTATTTACCTAGAGGTACATGAATCCCATCATTCAATTTCTGTATTACCCCCTTCATCAGTGTTTTCCAACGAGGGTTTGTGTTGTGCTGTTATTGTTTGAGATTCATTTTAATACAAAAATCATTTGACTTATCGTAAGTTTTATTCTAAAAAATTGAATGTTACTGTCTGAACAGGCTTTAAAGTTGAAGTTCTTTTAATATATTAAAGGCAGCAAGAAACTTTATTTGAAATCTCTTCGAAAAGGGTTGGATGGGGCATTAACCCGTTAAGTGCTCAGGTGGGCAAAGAAGATTGCCTTACATTCTCCTTAGCTTTAATGCTTACCGTTATCAGCTTTTACATAATGACATTCCTTATTGGTCAGTAATTTTACAGTAAAGCACATTTCAACAAATCTCTCTTATAAACAAATGTAAAATCACCTGCATTTATGAGAAAAAACCTGGCAGATCAATAGTAACTGGTTGACAAATTATAAGGGAGAACAATCTCAAAAACTAACTCAAGCTAAAGATCGCATTGCGGTTATTTATTTTAAGTACATTGAGTTTTTTTTATTGATCCAGATAAAAATATGGTCATTTATTAGCTGTCAATTAACCCCATACTAACTACCCGTATTATTTTGTCATTAATTTTCTTTTACATACCAGTACGGCTCGTTTACTCTCCCACTCTTATAATGTAATCTTTAGTTCACAACTTTCCCTTAAATACAGGAAGAAAACCAAACGGACGAGCTGCTGAACATCACTCAGAGATGGTTCAGTACTTCCATGTCTGATCCATTTAATACTGTTTGGTCCATAGCACAACAACCTTTTCTGGACCTCCGTGTGCCTGCCTTTCAGCTACTACACAACTTGGCCGCTCTCCCGTGGGGACAGAGACTTATGAACAATGTGCCGGGGTTTAAAGAGTATCTCCTAGACAGATCCACAGAACATACCAAAGAAGGAAAAGATGTCAAATTTGAACTTATCAAAATATTGGCTCATTCGCCAACAGCCCCGGACATTTTTGGAAGGCCTTATCATGTGAAGCTCACTGAGTATTTCAACCAGGGTCCCTTCTATGTCGTGGCTCAGTCAGAAGTGGCCATGGAAGGAGAATAGTGTTGTTTTCATGAGTCCAGCCCACTCATCCTGATCAATAAATGATGTTTTATTTCCTGTTATTTACAAGTTGTTGTTTTTTATTGATATTTTTGAGATGTGAATGATGGAATATGAGGATATTGATGGCTGTCATGCTCTTCACTCATTAATATTGTAAGACCGTACCAATAACATAATTATTTTGAAGGGGGGGGGAATGTGGCTATCTTTAGAGTTGCCCACTTTTCATCTTAATTGCAGAAAGTTGGTACAGGGACCATACAACTTGTTCTACCCTTCATTGGGAAAGGGGGGGGGGGATATTTCAATTCTTCTTGACCTTAAAATCATCTTGTACACACACCCTTTAAATCATGATGTTCAGTCCACAAATGAGAGGGCAGAGGACATTATCCTTAATAACATAATTAAACCCATACTTACGTCTTGGGAGAGGTTTGGGTGTTGTCATCGCAGCAAAAAAAAACAACTGGGCCCTAGTCTAGCCGAGTTAATTTTCTATCATCGCTGCAAAAATACAATCACAACAACTGGGCCCTAGTCTAGCCGAGTTAATTTTCTATCATCGCTGCAAAAATACAATCACAACTGGGCCCTAGTCTAGCCGAGTTAATTTTCTATCATCGCTGCAAACATACAATCACAACAACAGGGCCCTAGTCTGGCTGAGTTTGTTTTTTTCATTTCACAGGTGTCAAACTAAAAATAAATTGATAAGTTTATCTAATTGGAGCAATTGTGTCAAAACTTTCAGTTAATTCAAGTGTAAAGAAATCAACCTATTTTTGGTTCGGTCAATTCAAACTTCTCTTATTTTGATGACTTGGCATGAGCTTGAGAACTAGATGCCAAAAAGGAATATGTCAAATAATTCATTAATATTGAAGGCCTATGACCAGCCCTCGAATCCTGCAGCAAGGCCTGAGATTGGCATTCCTGTACTTCTGTTTAAGAATAAAATAGATATTTATTTCAGAAAATGTTGAGAGAAGGGAACTTTGTAAATTCCCACACATTTTCCTCAGCCGCCCCAGGACTTGACCCCAGCTTATCATACGCTTTACAATGCTATATTGAAGGGTGCCTAAATTCAATCATAAAATTTCTACGAAGAATTATTTGAATTTCAAACGAAAGATTATTAAAATCAGCCACGCATCAATGACATTGCCATTTATATCATGAATAAATCATTTTAATTTGATGCACGCTCAAATGATTATGTCAGAAATAAGCGGGAAAAAATTATTTGAACTTCTTCTTTAAGATCCATTACTTAACGTACGCATGAGAACACGTTTTATATATATATATATATTTATTTATTTATTTATATACACTATGTGTTAGGCTAGTCAGTTTTGTTATATAGTAACACCCAAATATAAGAAATGCATTTCGCCATCTGTACTGACTAAATAATTGAAATTGTTTACGGTAGGATACGCCGCCAGTGGTCGGAAAACTCATTAGTCAAAAGACTGTCCTACTTCAAAAAACTGTACAATTCCGGCGTAAACAGACGAGTCGTTAACTTATTCTACAGTGCAACAATTGGGAAGCCTACTTAATTTCAGTATTAGGCTACCAGCTGTTGTGGGAATTCAACGTCTGATATTAAACACCGCATAAACCGACTATTCAAGACTAGGAACATAAGACATAGCACAAACTAAATATCCTTTACTGGAAGAACTATTTGAAGAAAGATGTTATTGTAAAACTAAACACATTTTGGATGATTCATCCCACCCTCTTCATCACAGATACTTAGGATCGGCCCGTTCGGGACGAATTCTTTCCGTCAGGGCGAAGATTGAAAGATATAAACATTTCCATTTCTTTTGATCAATAAAAGAATCTTATCTTATCTTACAAGAGGCTAGAGTAAGAGTTCAAATCAGCAGCAGGGCGATTAAAAAAAAAATTTTGAGAGCCAAATTTCTTTTCAAGAACCATGTTTTTCGGAGTCGAAACCGATTTGTGGCCGAGCCGCGTTCAAGTCGTTAAAAAGCCGCATGCGAGCCGCGATTTGCCGACCACTGGACTCACTGATGGTACGCTAATGTCAATGCGCCACTTTCTATTATTATTATATTTATTTATCTAATCATTTATAAATATAATTAAAGTCTATTTCAAACAAATATTAATATATGTTTAATCTCTCGTCTAAAGCTTTAAGTGTACGTTAAATCTGTTGTTATCTAGATCAGAGTTTCCCAAACTTTTAAGTTTCACGTACCGGTGGACAAGTTTCGAAACTGCACCAGGGACCTGTGCCAGATTTATTAATTACATTTTCTCTCTATTTAACTCTCTGGACCGGTAACGTAAGCCTTGCGGACCGGTGCCGGTCCACGGACCACCGTTTGGGGAACGCTGATCTAGATGACATAATATATAATATATTCATAGCCTATGACATGGGGCCGATTATTCAAATGGCTATATAAGTATAAGTTAAAAGGTATTTAAAATACTTTAAGTTATTTAGAAATTATAGGGCCAATGCCCCCAAGCCTGCATTTTAGTACTTTTTCCACGGCACCGTAATTGCTAAGAAAAATCGGTATGGGGGGTAGGGGGGTTGTCTTTGGTGAGTTCCTCAACTTTTATTTCAGAATGTTTTGACCTCTTCTATCACCCAAAATGATATAAATTGAATCGTTAAAACAAATGTTTGTTTTTTTGTTTGGAATAGAGATTTGACCAGTAGCCAATGAAAACGCTCCAATATAAACAATATGGCGTCGTAGCAACCTCAGTAAACAGCTGAAACGAGCAGGGGTTGAACATTTAAAAATGGATCAAACGAAACGACCACTGCGAGTTCCACCAGAATTTGCAACGTATGCAGAGAAACATGGAATTTTTGACATGTATAAGGTATAGGGGTACTTAAAATTATTCTTTTTAAATTTAGATAGAAAAGCTTGAGCTAATTTATTAGACTTCAAAAATTTGAAAAATGTATTTGAATTATTATATGTATTGTATGTTAATGTATACTAATTACTAATTATTACTGTAATAATACTAAAATGATTGTATAGGCAGTATCGGGTATGAGTAGGCAGTAAAAGTATCACTATAATCATAGTATAATGTAAGTCTCACATTTAATTATTACTGTAACTGTAATAATACTAAACTGATTGTATTAGGCAGTATCTGGTATGAGTAGGCAGTAATAGTAATAGTATCAGTATAATCATAGTATAATGTAAGTGTTACATGTAACCATTCACGCGACGGTAGACTTACATGTACGCTAGTTTGTAATTGTAGTAGTTAGTGTTTTAATAATTACTATTCTTGAATCTCAGACTAGGGGCCGCCAAAGTCATTTTGAAAGGAAAAAATGGGATTTCAGCTTCCTGTTGAGTGTTGACACACATTAAAATAAATTTATTGCAGTTATAATTTTCAAACATGTGTTGTCCAGTGTTGTCATGTGCAAAAATACTTCTTTACTAAATTCAGCTAAGAACCGTACAAGATATTGTACGGCCGTACAAATAGAAAAAATTAAAATCTGTACAAACAAAAGTATAGACAGATATATATAGGCTAGAATAAGGTTGTCATGTAGCAATAAATAAAGAGAAACTAGAGGAAAGTGTAGATGCAGATAAAGTCTATTTTCACTTAACTAAGATGTGTTCAGTGGTGAGCCTAAGTCTAAGGGGGTATGAAAGGGAAAACTCTTAGGGGTTGTACTTTTGAGCTTTATAGTTGACTTATAAATGATGTTTGCATTATGTATGTGCATGTGGGGGGGGGGCACTTTTAAAAGTCAAGGTGGATATATAATTATTACATTTAAATTTATTTCCAGAGAATGATAGAACAGCTTGTTATTGCGACACCAGATGATCCTATCAGCTTTCTTATTAACTTACTAAAGAAAGAAAATGATGATGGTATGTTATATTTATACAATAATTTTATAAGTTAAAATATTTGTTGGCGTGCTTCTTGTGAAGGATAAAATCCCTAGAAAAATATACAGAACAAAGAACAAATATAAGAAGGAAATAAATTACCTCTTAAAAATATTTTGAATATCAATTACCCAATACAATTGTTTATGGTTAAATTTAATTACATCACATGAATTGGATTATTTCCTTTAAATTTGATTACTTGACCACCAGATGTGTTGATTTTAAAGTGACATATGTTTAAGCAAAATCAATCATATCCTGAAAAAGTAATGTTTACAAAAAGCCCACGTTTTATAAACAGAATGTAAAACAACATATAAATATTTCAGTCCCTCAGATTTGCGTCATAGGACCACCATGTGCAGGGAAACGGTCCATATCCAAGTTGGTCAGCAACAAACTACATTGTATACATCTGACCCCAAAACATTTGTTGGAAGATGCTGATCCTACTATCAAGAAAAAGCTTCTGAAAATATTTACCACCAGCAGAGAAGTAAGAAGACTGATTTCCTTTTTTTGTAATATGATAACTGACTTTGACTTTGAAGTTAAACCAAAGTCATATTGGGTGCTTGGAATTGAAATTTAAACATTATTTTTATTTCAATTTTAATGATTAATAAACTGGTAATACTGTTTTGTTTATGATTGTTTTAGCAAGGAATCTTGACCTTATGGGAGCAATTGCCACACATCCCCCCATCTTTACTTGTCAAGATCCTGACAGAAAGAATCCAGCTTCCTGACTGCATGAAGAAAGGATGGATTCTAGAGGGTTTCCCTCGTACGAGAGAACAAGCACTAGCCATGCAGGAGAGTGGCATCTTCCCTAAGCACTGCAGTAATGTGTTTTTCACCTTCAAAACAAAATAACAATGAAAGCGTATTATGCATTACCTGGACATATGTAGGATGGAGCAAGAGAGGCACATGTTTGACATAATTTAATAGGATCGATTCACTTTTTGTTCCATTCTCCGCCACTCATCCTCCTACACTCTCTTGCAATAGTTTCCCCTAGTCATTTGTACCATTAGCAAATGATATGCTTACAAGACAAATAATTATGTTACAATAAAAGTAGAACTAATACCTAGTCTTGCTTATTAAAAAATGAATATTTTATCAAGAATGCAAAAATGCTTGGTTTGTCTTATGCTAAATAATCTTTTGTTGTAATTGGCTATAGACATATATTTAAAGACAATTTTATATTAATTGTTGAATATAGTTCTAATTGTAACAAGTGAAATAAAGTGTGTTTTGTTTAATTATTCACAGAAAACATGAGAAGAGTATTCAGCTTTGAATCTTCTTTTTTCAAATATATTTCAGTTGTTTTGGAAGCCCCAGATACAGTCCTTGTTGAGAGAGCTGCTGGAAAAAGAATAGACAAGAAAACAGGAGGTAAAACAATTCACCACAGGAAATTTAACTATACATTTCGTCCCCCTAAAAATAACAATGTTCTAAGTCGATTTTTTGAAGAAAAAAAGAGTTATTGCCTTTGTGCAAAAGTAAATCAACCCCTCTATCATGGTACAAAAAATGGAACCTTTATAATGAGCCAATTTTGCAGGAAATACAAAATAACAAGGTTCTAACTCGAGGTTGGCCTTTCATTTGAGAATAACAAAGTTCTAATGTATATTTTTAGTTTTAACAAGATACTATTTAGGGTGAACCAATAAAAATTCAGCTTGTAAAATGAGTTTGGTATCTTTAGCAAATCATAAGGCTTGTTATGTGCCATATCTTCAATGGTCACGAATTGTTTACATTCAAAATGCCGGACGCCTCACTAGAAAATAGTTGTTCAAGCTCTTCGTCAAGCGAATATGATGATAGAAGTGACTACTATTATCCATTACCATGTGAAGTGTTTTCACCTCTAAGTCTAATAAGAGTCCTTAAAACTGAAAACAGGAGAAAACCTTATACAATCATACAGATGAAGCAATGAGGCCAAATGACGTCAAAGATTTTAAAACATGTACTGAACTGATAAGTTTCTTTCAATCCAAGAGTTTAAAATATTCTAAAGTATGTGTTATCAAATTTACAAATGAGCCATTGGCTGGTTGTAGATTTAGCCATAAGGACACAGCATTTGAGAGCATCAATATAAGAAAAACTAAAAGCAACAGAAGTTGAGTACCAATTAAATCAATCCAAGTATGTTTGCCTCAACCAAAGATAGCAATGTCATCTAACAAACTGCCTGAAGCTAACAAAACAGATTTTAGAGACATGCTTAAGTTCATGCCTGATTTAGACAGGCAATACTATAGCATAAAAACACTATAACATCATTATGTAACTTGTTGTAGTAAGGTAGCTGTTTTTTAATGGTAATAATGCAGAAACTTCAAGGTTGTGTGTAAACCATGTTATTCTTATTGTCTAATGAATGTTCATGTTTGTAATAATAAATTAATACAAAGAAACTATATACAAAGAAATATTTTCCGTCTTTATTTTCAATATATTTGTTAAATGATTTTGTCTTGTTAGTATAATTTATGATTTAAATAATGAATATGTATTTATTCTTGAAAGGAACTGCTTAAATTATAGTGTTAAATAAATAGAACCTTGTTATTCTAAAGTGAAATAGCATGTTCAGAATTACAAAGTTCTATCGAAAATTTCAAAAATTCATATAAAATCAAAATCAATACCTAGAACCTTCATTTTAATGTTCAAACCTTTTTTGATAATATAAACATAAATCAACAACAACATCTATAAAAACGTTTTAAGTTTATCCATACCAAACATCAAATTTTCAAACGTGAATAGCTCAGTTTGACCAAAAGGTCACATAGAACATTGTTATTCTAGGGGGACGATTTGTGCTCATTTGTGTGAGATTCATATCTGATGTCCTGAAACTTTCTGAATATCCTCTGTAAGTTTTCAATGACCTCAGCCAACCTGCTGACTATCAGATTGCTGTAATTCTCTGCTATGGTCTGGTGGTCCTGTCTGTGTCTTAGAGTTATGACGAACAAGCTCTTCCAGCATTTAGGTTGATGTGGTGGCACACTGTTTTGCTTTTAGGTGGTTAACATGGTGGGCCACTGCTCTTTGGTTTTGTTTCTGTTTAATGCTATTTATTTTTAAAATTAACAAAAATAATTTCTCACACAAGCAGTTTAATTTTTTTTATTTAAACCTAAACATTTTAAAACATCCTTAGCACATTAGTAGTTTTGGAAAGTTGAGTTTTGTGTGTAATAATGTTGCAAAGATATACACTTTATTTATATTCCTATTCTGTTTCAACCTGTGGTAGACTCAATGTTGATACAATGTATTATCAATTGCTATTTCCAGATGTGTACCACACAACATTTGATTGGCCTGGTAACCCTGAGGTTCAGTACAGACTCAAGGAGCCAAAGGGATATAAAGAGGAAGACATGGTCAATAAACTAGTTGTCTATCATAGACACATTGATGGAATTCTTCGTTGTTATGAGCAAGTTGTAAAAAAGGTCAATGCTGACCAGCCTAAAGCTGATGTCTACTCACAAGGTTTTTTTCTATCTAGTTTATTTTCATTCATTAAAAATGTATTACTGAAATACATAATTATTTTAACTTCATTAATTGTTTTAACCAACTTTTAAATTATTTGCTATTCATGATCAAAAAGTAAAAAAAAAACACAGCTAAAACAAATCATTGAGCGTAAAGTCAATGATAAGTCTTAGTCAAATTTTGACATCATTAAGCTTTCAAGACAAAGCTCAAGAGCTTGTGAACCGACCCACTGACTATGTCTGTGTGTGGATCGAACTTGGCTGAGACATTAAATAATTTTGTAGCTGTTGGTTGGTAGGGTATTGCCTTAATTTCAATCATCACATAAAATTAGCAACCAAAAAAGTCCAATTATAATAGTACATCCTCATTTGCAGTATTGGAAGTAAATATTTAAAAATGATGTTATATTAATTTTAGTATAAAAAAACAAGGCTGCATTTTGGTCTTGGATATGTCAAATTTATGCATTTTTTTATTAATGATATCTGTTAAGAAAACTTCAATTTGTTTCAAGTTTCAATCTTTATTAGGCCTCCTCAAATTTTTAAATATTTTTTCAAATTTTCAGCCCTCTCATTCTTATGTAGTCAGCCAAGATCAAGTGCTCCACATACTCCAAGAGTGATTTTGATTGGTTCATTAGGAAGTGGAAGAGGAGTGCAAGCGGCCCTATTGGCTAATAAGTATAATCTTGTTAAAGGTGAGTAGCTTTCTTAGTTTTATTTACTAACCAAACTAATTGATTAACAATTTATTTCATTACAAATAATAGTTTACTGCAATGTAGCATTTTTATAAATTATATATATATATTATTTGTATTTATACACACACACACACCCCACCCAACTCACCATTAAAGGGGTCATGATCCTAAAAGAAATAACAGGGATGTAAGTAAGATTAATTGTTTTAAAGGAATGTCATTTGAGCAAGCTGTCCATGTACCCATAATGCCAAAATTATTGATGAACTGTTATTTCTATGTTTGGTAATTTATTTTATTTTCACAGTATCATGCGGCCAGCTGATTAGACAAGCAATAGCTCAAGAAACAAAATCTGGTTTGGCTGCCAAGCCTTATGTTGAAAAGCAGATTCAGTGTAAGAATTTGTTTGGAGAGAAAGTGAATAAATAGAAAGTAATATGATTCTACTTGTATGTGTTGATTATGTCTAAACTCTAGCACCAGAATGATTGAAATCAAAATTAAAAGTAATTCTATTCTCTTGTATTTATTGAATCTGTCTAAATTCTTGTGACAGATGGATTTGAATAAATATTTCATATACATTTTTTTTCCCCTTACAGTGCCTGACAGCATTGTTCTTGACATCTTGAAAGACAGATTGTGTCGACTCGATTGTGTCACAAGGGGATGGGTCTTATATGGATATCCCCATACTCGAGAACAGGCTGAACAGCTTGATAAAGCTGGCTTTAGGCCAAACAGGTAACTAATCACTACTGGCTTTAGGCATTAATAAGATAATAGTCACAACTAAATTTATTTCAATACGTTTTCATTGAACACAGTTGTATTTTATTGTTTATTTTATCACTTATTTCAAATTTCAGTACTTTTAGCTGTTGTTTCTTCTAAGGATAATCACCAAATACCTTAATATATTTCATCTACATTCAAAAGGGTAATATTTGTTTGTCTGGTGGTCTTACTATAGCTTTCATTTTAGGTTTGGTTGCTCTCGAGCTGAAGGTAGATGATGTGGGTTGTACTTTTGTCGGATCAAACCATGTCTTGATAGTTGTTTTAACGATTGATTTATTAACATATTTTGTCCTCTGTTCCTCAGGGTATTTATCTTAGATGTCCCTAGTGATTCTGTTATTGAGCGGCTGACCTTGAGAGCTATTGATCCAATCACAGGAGAGAAATATCATTTGCTGTACAACCCACCAATCAGTCAGGAAGTAAGTTCATTGTAACATACAAAATGTGCAAAAGAAATCTAATAAGCTCACAAGCTGGAGCTTAGTTGAAATGCTAAAGATAAAATTTCAACTAAAGAAATTCTCTAGAATGACAATAATTTATTTGCCACCCAGAGCATTCTCTATCTCTGGCTTCCCCATAAATAATTTTAAAATAAATTATTCAACTAGCATTGATTTCAGTTCTCTTTATGGTGTCTAAATTCTATGCAGGATTATATCAACCATGAATGCCATTGAGCAGATTTACTATTCATTTTTGTATTTTAATTTTTTTAATATTTAAATTTGTGGAAAGAAACACATGTTGTACATGCATCCTTCATATTAATTATACTTCAAATAGAAATGCTAAAAATAAAATGATACATTTTAAAAATTATGCAGCATAAAAATATGATACAATGTCAAGATTTGCCTCACATGTCTTATTGTTTAGCCTATCATAAAAAAAATTGCGTATGCCTTCCTCAAGAGGATTTGAACACATAAACTTAAAGGAATACCTTAACAATTGAAAAAAAAAAGCATTTTATTTCACAAATATTGATTATGATTTTGACAAATATATTGTATAAATTTTTTAAAGGTTAAAGACAGATTGTGGAAAAATGAGAAAGACAGTGAAGAGAATGTCTCCAAACAATTGTCAAGATTTTATTCTTACACTGAAGAGTTGCTGGATTATTACACAGACTGCCAACATGTCAATGCTGACCAGGATCCTCACACTGTGTTTGAGTGCCTAGAGAGCATGATTTGTAAGCCTCTGCCTAAAAATTTCAACTAAACCAATTAAAACAAGCCACTTCCTATTAGAGACAACTTGAAGTTAAAATCATATCGAGGACACCAGGAGTTACAAATAAAAGTAGATTTACCATTGCTTGAGATTGTTTTAATTTTGAAGATGACCTAAAAATTTTAAAGATAACATAATTTTTAAACACATTTTTAAAATTATTATTAAGCTGTCTTTAAATATTCATATTCTCAAATAGATGGATAAGTAAAAATGCCAAAGACAAAATGGTGTGCATTTATCTTTAAAAAAACATGCAAAAAAGAGACAGTTGAATTAATAATAATGTTAGTAAAATGAAACTTTATATAATAAAATCAAATGCTTATCAAAATTGTAACTAAATAATGCATCATGGGATATTTTCCTTTTGTATGATGGAAATTTTAGGCCAATGGTTAGCAAAATGCTCAATATTCAGATGTGATGCTTTATTTTAAATATATGTATTTTTGATATTCAAATTGCTTCAATTTAGATATGTTCAATAATTATGGACCTATATAATCTTATAGTTTTAAATTATTTTCATTTGGTTATCAAAATTTGAAATGTTTTGCAAAATTTTAAATAAAATTGATATTCATTACAAACTCAGTAGAAGTTTTAACTTTTAAAGATTATTCTTGTTTTGTATTGTATTATTTTTAATATTGTGTAATTCTTGTTGTAACTAGGCTATTTATAATCTACAAAACAATTTTTTCAAAACTTTAGCTTTACTTGTATGATTTAACCTTCCGAAAGCATATGAATAATTAAGAAATACAATTTTTGTTTTGTTGATCCTTAATAAAAATCCATTATTTTGAGGTATCTTAACTGTAAATAATTTACAATGCAAACGTTTGAAAAATGAACTACAGAATAATCATTTTTATGTTTTAAAAAAAAATTCATCAACTTATACATTAATTGATAAATAAACATTCATGGAAAAATAACAAGTTGAAAACAAATTTCTTTCACTAAAACCTTTTTTAATTCCATTATATTAACCTCGCTTTTGTGTGTTTTTTTGTGACTGCAAAATCTTCGGAGGCTAATTGACCAACTTACCTTCATCCCATTGAGCTGAAACTTGACACACAGACTCATTGCCAATGATACTACAATTTATATTTTCAGCCCTGCCCCGAAACCCCAAAAATCAGTTTTTCAAAGAGAAGATGAATGAAATACAATTTGTTCAACGGGTATATGTTTTGGTGTGGAGATTAATTGTGTAACTGTTGCTATGTGCTTTGTTGTATTTGTGATGTATTTGGATTTAAATAAATCCATAGTTTATTAGGTTTTACATGCATTATATTTGATAAAAAACCATTCCCATACCAAAAAATCAGTTATTACAATGACATAAATGATAAATCACATACCAGTTCATAAATGCATATAAAGTATATATATGAAAAACTTTGTTTTTAGGGGTTGTTTAATTAGATGTGAATTGATGGTTGCACAAATTATGAAATAAAAAATAGGCTACAGAAAATAAATTTTTCCAAAATTCAGTACATACACAATTTCATAGTCATTCTATGTAGGACTATTAAATAAATAATTATTTAAAAATGCAAAAGATTGATTTTTAATTAATAATAATGATAATAATAAAGCTTATTTGAAAATCACGCTTCATCACCAAAGGCTTGAAGTGCGGTACAAAGTCATCTATATTAAAAAGGAATGAAAAAAAATATATTTTACTACATTGAAATACAAAACGCAACATTTCAAAAACTACATACGAGAATACCCATTCTAAGTCTTTCATCCCTTGCAACCATAAAGAACACAGGCCACTTTACATCTAGGAGATAATAGTTAGCTGGAAAAGATGGTAGACAAATTCAACCCAAATCGGGTTTGAAAGACTCCAGTGTCTGGCTGTTTCTGAGAGCGACAGGAAGTGTGTTCCAAATTGTTGGGCCAGCAAATGCGAACGTGCGCCTTCCGTAAGTCTCAAGGCGAACACGTGGTATCGAGAGTTTGCCACTATCGGATGATCGGAGTTGTCTATTTGGTAAATAAGGCGTCATGAGCTCTTTGAGATAGGACAGCGCCAGGTCATGCAAGCAGCGGTAGCACAGAGTTGCAATCTTGTACTCTATGCAAGCGCACCGGCAGCCAATGCAACTCTCTCAGAAGTGTTTTGGTCAAATTTGCGTTTGCAAAAAACAATGCGAGCCACATTATTCTGTATCTTTTGAATTTTATCCAGAAGCCTAGCTGGAAGACCCACCATGAGAGAATATCAATAACAACTTGTATCCCTTAGCCTACTTATGTACCTTGTGGGGCTCAGTTAATCTTATAATTATAATCTCAGATAAACACAAAAAAAGGATAAATTATACATGATCGAATGTGATATGTTTGGATTTCAGAGCTGCAGGATGGATAATCCCTTTTTATTTTATTTTTCTTCTACTAAATTAGGCTTTGAATTTTATTGGCCTGGGTGGATTGTTAAAATAATTAAAATGCCAGTCAAATTAATGAACTGAATAATTGTTTCTTTTATTTTCCATGGAATTATAAATCCTTTATGATTTATGAATTTTTTTGGTTTTTAGAATCACATCATCTAATTTAAAAAAAAAGAACTTAGCTTTATTAAAAAGTACAGAGATCTGTTACCATACCATAGCCTCAAATTTTGAAATCATCCTCCAACAGCTGAGTAAAAAGTGAAGAGCTTTCAAATGGAGTTGGAGTCTTACCACTTTTGATGTTAATATGCAAAAATTGAAATTCCTGTTCATTCTATTTTTTTGCATCTAATTAGAATTAGAGAAGCATTGATGGGATTTGCATTAAAGAGCCTCCTCAAAGAAACTTCCAACGCAGTTTCTTTAATAGAAATACACATGACAAAATAAACTTGTTTAAAACATTGTTTTTTTTCTGTTTAGCAGTGGGTCTGCCACCCATGGAAAATGTGTTTTTAACAAAAACCTCCTAATAGGAGTTCTATCTGTAATTTTACTAAAATTAATACATTAATTTCAAGAAACTGACAAAGGTTTTTGACTTGTAAGTCAGAACTTACTGTCATAAGTCATTCACCATGCAGTGTAATAGCAAATGAAACTACAACAGAGTCTTTTTCCAGTCAGTAATGAAGTGAAGCCAGGTTATGTTCTTGCATCCGCGATCTCCTTGCTTTTTGGGTACTCTTTCAAAGATTGGAACTAGACAATGTCCATCCAGACCAGGTCTGATGGCAACTAGACAATGTCCATCCACAACAGATCAGTTGGCAACTAGCCCATGTGCATCCACATGTCTGATGGCAACAAGCCAATGTACATTCACAAGTCTGACTGAGACTAGGCAATGTACATCTAAACAAGGTCTGATGGTAACTATGCAATGTCAAACCACACCAGTTCAAACAAAAGGCCATTCATTAATCCTTGCAACTGTGCCACGACTTAAGTAACAATGTGTCTTATGCTGGCTAAGTCAGGTGAAGAAAAAAGTGATTTTTTTTACCAGACTGGATTGTCCACTTAGAAATCCTATTGGCCAGACTGGACTATCCATTTAGTGATCCTACTGTCCAGACAGGACTAACCATTTAGTGATCCTATTGACTAGACTAGACTGTCATTTAGTAATTCCACTGACCTGACTCAAAAAAGTCTACTCAGTGATTTTAGCACTGATATCAAGTTTTATTTTTTTGGCTGTCCTTATTTAAAATAATGTTTTAGACTTTTGGTAAAAATAATTGAAACGCTGTTACTTTTTATGAAGTGTTTTTATTGGCAACAACATGTTCAACAATAGATAAAAAAATGTCACTTTCACCTGGGAGGTGAGAAACATTTCACATATTAAAACCATCATATTTCTGGTGATGACAAAAAGTATGTGGTTTTTACGGTAAGTTTATAATAATACTTCCCTCACATCAAACAGTACTGCATTGATTTTTTAAGTAGTAATTGCCATTAATAATTTAAGATTTCCCTCGTGTCATATAGTTTTACATTGATTTTGTATAAAACTTCATTTAGTAAATATCGAGAAAAATATAAAGTAATATTGCTTAGCTGGAGCTCCAAATATTTTAAGCAGTTTGAGAATGTCCTTAGGAACCAGAGACCATTACATAATATCAGTTTTAGTGTCTCAGCTGGAACAAAGTTCTCCTTAATAAAATAAATTCATAAAATTTATAAATTTGGTCTAGTAGAGATTTAATCAAGCACAGCACTCTATATAACACAATAAAATTAAAACTACTAGCTAACTGCACATGTCACAAATTCACTTCAGCTGGTGTGTGATTCCAGTTCATCTCAAGGCAGTTAGCACAAAGAGCGGGAAAGCATTAACATTTTATGGCACAAAATACTGAAAGGTTGCAAATTTATAATTTCAATAAAACAGTAACATCCTGCACAGGAGCTCATGAAGGGGACAAAAATAATTTTCTTTAGATATGAATTAGGTAAATTTAGATATAAATAATTTAATATTTCTATATCTTACCAGATTTATCCTGAAAATTCAAATATCTAAGCACAATTCTACTGTGCCATTACACACATAAAAATATAAAGAGTTATGACAATTCTGATATTTGTAATTAAACTGACAACTGTTTTCAGGAAAGTTCATATATCAAGCTTGGATTTCTGGACTTAAAATGTTGATTAATTAAGGTCTAAGTTTATTAGTTTTTAAATACAAATAATGAATGACCATGACATATATGACATGACATACATTACATGACATACATTACATGACATGATATTGCTTTGTACAGCTTTTCATCAATTTTATATTTCATGGCATACCATTTTTTTTAAAAATATGTATTAATTTTTTTTTGTTGAGACTTTCACATCGGCAAGGAGGGTTGACATGGACAATTATACAGTCTTATGCCCCCAAGTTTCACTGTCTCTATCAATATTTTTAATAAACAAAGAAACATTTATACCAAAAGCTGTCAAAAAACTTTAAAAATGCATTTGACAACATGGAGTGGTGGTTTTAATATCTACAAATGTTTGCAGGCAGAGGCAGGAATAATAAAGTCATAAAAATACAGAAACCCATGGCTATATTGAAATCCAAACTTTATTAACTCCTTCTTCCTATAAAGTGATGTCCCTTCTTTGAAATGGTAAAATCATAGAATTACATTATTATATCAAAGTTTAAACAGTTTTAAATACATTGTATTTATATTTCATCAGTATTAAATGACATCATCAGAAATCCATTTGATATTATTCAATTTAAACACTTTCAAACTAGCCTGTACTGTTTTGCTTGTACAATTTAAAAAATAAGTTGTTTCATTCGCAATAACATCTATATTTCAATATTAAGACAATTTATTGGCAAAGTCATAGAGCTAGAGGTTGGTTTTTTTCCCTTTGCAGCCTAACAAAGAGAAATATTTTATACTAGATATAGCTTGCCAAACATTTGTGTGAACTTCCCATCTACTAAAGTAAATGGACAAAAAATGAACTCAAGTATTGCACATTTAAGAATCCCAATTCTTACTACATCCCTTCCCTCCATGATACATGACTGCATACTTTTTATTTCACGCCCATGAACTACATATTACATATTATATATTACATATTCTGATGTCCCAACCACTTATAAACCAAACTTTTTTTTACACCAAACTTAAACTGAGAAGATTTAATTTTCTGAAAATAAAATATTACGCCCAAAACACATTAGCGTTATTAAAAAAATATAAATCATTTATATATGTCATGGAGTTATCGGGAATTATATTTTGCGTACTATTGAACTCATTATTGAACCATGCTTTCTTTCAATTAGAACTTAGAATTATTTGTAATATACTTTCAATACCAAATTCGCTGATTAGGAAGCAGTCCATTAGGAAGCAGTCCATTAGGAAGCAGTTTAAGAGTCACACCAGAAGCGTA